TCGCAAATATTCCTAAGGATTCCTGACGGAATCCGGAGGTGTCCTGATCCTAAGGATCCTAAGGGATCCCAAGGACCCTAAGGAACCCTAAGGATCCTAAGGAGTCCTAAGAAATCATAAGGAACCCTAAGGAATCCTAAGGAATGAAAAGGACTTCTGAAGAAGAAAGAAATACTTCTGAAGAAGAAAGAAGTACTTCTGAATAAGAAAGAACTTCTGAAAATCCCATGGTTGTAATTGGTCCCATGTATGGTTGCAATTCGCTCCGAACGGTTGGAATTGGGACCAGTCGGTTGTAATTCGTCCCATTTCGGGGGGAGGGGCGGGGGGAGGAGGAGGGAGGGGGGTTTAGGGAGAGAGGGAGGAGGGGGAGGGGAGAGAGGCCGGCCGGAGAAACGCGAGGAATCACAACCACAGATGGCCCCTCCTCCTCCTCCTCCTCCTCCTCCTCCTCGTCCGCCTCCTCGCGATCCGTCTGGCCCCTATGGACCGCCAGGCACAGGAGAAAACCGAAACCCCGACACAAACTGAATCCATAGTTTCTCTGATTTGGCTTTTTTGGGCGCCTGGTTCGAGGGGGTGGAGTCTCCCCCAGAGGCAGCACTCGTGCAAACAGTCGCACTAAGCAGAGGTCTGAAGCCAGCCCCCCCCTCCCCCCTCCCCTTTCCGCCCAATGTCGAAACGCCGAATCAAAAAACGCTCACTTTTCCGTGTTGGCCCATGTGGAAGCGCCTCGGGGCGTGCGCGGAGGCCATATGCAGCAGTTTTCGGTGTGGCCTCGATGGGGGGACGCGTCGGCAACGGGGCGGGGGCCGGACAGGGGGACCGGCCGAGAGGGGCCGATGTGCCGATGTCCTCGTGGCCTCAGGTCGCAATTTGTGGACACAGGGGGGCGGGAACGGGGGGGGGGGGCGAGGCCAAAAGAGGGCAGTTTTCGAGATGCGTCGAAAGAGGGAGGCGGACGGAAAGGGCCAGAGGCCAAGTGAGACCGTCTTCCGTATGGCTCCATGTGGTGCTTCTCCGAGAAAGGGGTCCGGATGAAGGGGGTGTGGGCGGATGAGGTCAAACTCGCGCCGTTTTCATACGCGCACAGGGGAAAACGTCCAACATGTGAGAGGGGTGGCGGTTGAGCTCAGGTTTTCTTCGTTTCAATGTGGAGGCATCTGAGAATCCAGCGAAAATTGGAGGGGAGTGAACTTGCGCGATCACGGACCTCCAGGTTGGGGGGCTTTTGGGGTGAAGCAATACCACAAACTGTGCCACCCCCGGCAAGAAGGGGTCGGTGGAACAAGTTTGTTTTCCGACCCACGCAAACGTGTTGCATCTTCGCTAGGAGACTCGGTACTACGCACAGCACATTTCAAATCTCATTATTCTACCTCCTACACCTTCGACCGTTCTTGCTCCCGCTCGAAGCTCCTCCTCCCGGTGCTACTGTTTCTGGTCCTCCTCGTCTTTCGCCATGTGTGCCCGCTGCTTCCACTGCTGCTGGTCTCCCACCACGGCTCCATACGAGTGGTGCTCGTCTCTCTTCACTGATACTGTGCATGTGCATGTTTTCTCGCGCCGCTCCCGCGTATTTGTCGGGGGCAACGATAGGGGGGGCATAGGCACAGGGGGGGGATGCATCGACCCCCAATCGCCCATGGATCGCCAATAGGGGCCCGATAGCCCCAACCTGCACAGGAATGCGCGGATTCACTATCTGCGGCCTATCGCCGACCTCTCGGTGATGTATGGCCGATTCCAGGTCGATGCATCCCCCCTGTGCCAGTCCCCCCCGATCGTCGCCCCTCAATTTGTTCACACATGATTTCAAAACGTGGTCTCCCATATTCAGGAGGGAAAAAGCACAGACACAATTCATCGTCGACCCCCAGAAAGTATAGGAAAATATGGGGAGTGAGGGGGAAGACAAACACCCAGAAAATCATGGGAAAACATGGGGAATCCTATGATTTGTGTCTATTTACGTAGCACCCCGCAATTGCGGATAAGAGTGAGGGGGCGGGCGCGGGCGACGCGGGCGTCGTCGAGCCGGCGGACCTCGTGGCCCCCACCTTCCTTGTCGATGGCGCTCTCTTCCACCTCCTCCTCCTCCTTCTCCTCCTCTTCCTCCTCCTTCTCATCCTCCTCTTCCTCGTCCTCATCGTCATCGTCATCCTCCTCCTCCACCTCGTCCTCCTCCTCTTCTTCCTCGTCCTCCCTCTCCCCCCCTCGTCTTTTCATCATGGTCCTCCCATTGTCGTCCTCTCCCTGATCGACCTCCATCATCGTCCTCCCATTGTCGTCCATCATCATCATCCTCCCCATCCTCCCCCTCCTCGTCCTCCTTCTCCCCCTCCTCCCCCTCCTCCCCCTCGTCCTCCTGCTCCTCCTCCTTTTCTTTCTCCACGTTCTCCTTACATCCTCTCTTCTTCTACGTTCTCCTCGTCCCCTGTTCACTCATCCTGCCTCCCCCTCCTTTCCCAAGATAACTGCAACGCAATCCTTTTTTCCCACTTTATGCTCCCCGCCTTTTCTGATCAAGGCAACTCGCCAGGGCAAAGTTGCTGGACGGGCTGGCGTGGATGTGCGGGGCGTGCAGAGGTCCTTGCGGGCTCAGACGGCATGCAAGAATCCGCCGCCGCGCTTGTGCGGCATTGGTTTGTTCAGTGAACGTGGTTTAGGTCGCGGGTGGGTCGCGGGCTCTCCACCTCCACCTGGAAGGAATGCAAAAGCAGCCCGCCGCAAGCGCCAAAAAAATTGGTTCGTACACGGAACGAGGTTTGGGTCGCGGGTGGGCCGCGGGTTCTCCACAGGGAACGAATGCAAAGGATGCCCGCCGCAGGCGCCGAAAATGTGGTTTGTACCCTGAACGTGGTCGCGGGTGGGCCGCGGGTGGGCCGCGGGCTCTCCACCTGAAACGGATGCATAACATGCCCGCCGCAGGCGCCGAAAAATGTGGTTTGTACCCTGAACGTGGTTTGTGCCGCGGGTTGGTCGCGAGTTGGTCACGGGATGTGTCGCGGGCTCTCCACTTGGAAGGAATGCAAAAAAGCTCGCCGCAGGCGCCGAAAATTGTGGTTTGTACCTTGAACGTGGTTTGGGTCGAAGGTGGGTCGCGGGTGGGCCGCGCGGTAGGTCGCGGGTGGGTCGCGGGTGGGTCGCGGGTGGGTCGCGGGCGGGTCGGGTCGCGGGGTGGGCCGCGGGGGGGTCGCGGGGTGGGTCGCGGGTTGGGTCGCGGGGTGGGTCGCGGGGTGGGTCGCGGGGTGGGTCGCGGGGTGGGTCGCGGGTGGGTCGCGGGTGGGTCGCGGGTGGGTCGCGGGGTGGGTCGCGGGGTGGGTCGCGGGTGGGTCGCGGGGCGGGTTGCGGGTGGGACGACGACAACAAACAACAACAACAACAAACAACAACAACAAAAATCCGCACCGCGGAATTCCACATCAGCCACGCACCCAGGGACAGTGAATGACCGTTCGGCCCCCTCACTCTGATTTGTGTCTCCCAGGGCCCCCTCACAAATGTTTTTTCTCTGGTCGTCGTCGCCCTGGTCTTTCCTCTTGTATTTGTTTTTCGACCCGGACTGCCTTCGGCCGCCCCGAGGGGCGCTCTCTCTCGCCTCGGTGCCTGCCGCATTCCCGCCCACTACTCGGTACGAGTACCGCTCTGCTCTCTCCCCCAATGTTAAGTCGGGCCTGTCTTCTACAGGAGGAAGATTCAAACATAGTCAAAACATAGTCTGGGGAGGATCTTTCAATTCATTGTTGGACCATTTTTTGAGTATTGCTTGATTCTGTTTGAACTTTTGGTCCAAAATCAGTCTGTAGGGTGACATGCCCGACCTAACCCCAATGCTGTGCAGGCTTGCCGACGCCTCTCCGTGCTGTGTGTGTGTGCGTGTCTTTGTGTGTATTCGCACGCGGCCATACGGCGGCTGCCTCCCATCGACACGTGCTCGGCGGCAGCGCCTTTTGGCGCGGTCTCCCGGGACGGTCGCGGCCGTGGTGGACCCTCTCGAGGGTATCGACGAGCACCGACGTTCGAGGATCGACGCTTCTGGAGGTTCTTTCAGAGGAGGAAAAGGTACCCCTCTACCCTTCGCCCGTTTTCCCTTTTTGGGGCCTCGGAGGCCCTCGTCGCCACCGCTGGATTCGCCTCGAGGTCCTGGTCAGAACGCACCCAGGGACAGGTCCGGGGAGTAGCAGTTTCGGTACCTTTTGGTTTCCCCATTCTTGGGCCGTTTTGGGTCCCCCTGGGTTGCCCCTCGCGGCAACGGCTACCCGGAGTCCGTGGCGGGCATTTTTATCCACCTTTGTTCTCCCCCCTCTTTTTCCCTTTTCCTCTACCTTCCTCCTTCCCCTTCTCCCTCTTCTTCTCCACCTTTCTTCCTTCCTTACCCTTCTCCCCTCCTCTATCCTCCCACTTTCTCCTTCCCTCCTTCCCATCCGACTCCCTGTCAATCCCAGCTCTTCTCCCCCCCTCGCCCCCCTTCTTGGTTTTCTTTTGCTCTGCGTCGAAGGCGCGCGAGGCGGAGGCGTCGGCATTAATCTGCCTGCCCCGAGCATGGGGCGCAGCTTCAGTGTGTGCGTCGTCTTTCAATCCGACCGAGATGTCGCCCGACCTCACTCCGCACTTCCTGGGCTGTTTGGTCGCTCCGCCCTTCGCGCAGTTGAACGGTGGGAGTGTGGCACGCTCTGCACATATCATCTGAATCCTGAGGGATGATTGGGCATCCGACCTGGTGAACAGAAGGGAGCGGATGGGTGGGAGGGAGGGTAGGATGCCAGATGTGCCGCGAGCGCACCTACCTTGTCCTCCTCCTCCTCCTCCTCCTCCTCTTCCTGTCCTCTCCTCTTCCGCCCGCCGCCCCTTCGCCCGCCTCCCCTTCGCACTTCCCCCTGCCCCTCCTCTCCCTCCCCTTCGCCCTCCTCCCTTCGCCCGCCTTCCCATCGCCCTTCCCCCTGCTCCTAGCTGCTGCTGCTGCTGCTGCTGCTGCTGCTTGTCCTCCTCCCTTTCAGGATCCGCTCAGGAAGGCGCACGGCGCGTCGAGCCGGGCGCTTCTCGGCAGGGACGCGCTCCAGGAGAGCCGTCCAGGGGGGAGGGGGAGGAGGAAGGGGAGTTCGAGGAGCAAGAGGATAATGACAGAGGGGGGGGGAACGGGCGGTACCAGTGTGAGGAGAGGGAGGTGGAGGAGATGCCTGCGTCCTCCGAGGCTACTGGCTCCCTCTGAGGGTGACTCCTTGCCGTCATCAGAGCCTCAAATCCTTCTGAGGGTGACTCCCTGCCGTCGTCAGAGCCTCACAATACCCCGAATGGTGGATTCTGCTCCGCCCCCCCCTGCCACTGCAGCTCCTCCCCTCTCTTTGACGAGGGATCGTTTGCGGTAGGAAGATCATGTTCATCATTGCTGCCTCCCCACTGCTGCTGCTCCTGTTTCCGTCTCCTTCTCCTTACTCACTCCCACATGGCCATCATGCGCACTGCGGGCCAGGGCTATGCAGCGGACTGAAAGGAACAGGGCAGGCAGCACGACAATCGGCCACCGCCCCATGCGTTCCTGGTGCTCATCACACACGTCCTGGAGCAGAAACAAGCGTCAGCCAACCCACACGCAGCAGCAGTTCCCAAACACGACTTCAGCCAGGCCATCAAGGATGACAGCACGGAGACTCTTCGCACGCTGGCGGACCCCCGCGAGGTACTGCATGACCCGAGCGTGCTGGTTCGACAAGAGGGCAGGCACGACGTCGGCGCGCAGTTGCAAGCTCCAGCGTACGATGAGCCCGTACGTCCAGGGCCAGGCAGTCACAGTGGACGTGCACCCTCTCGTGGCGGCGCACGCGGCGCCCACGGCCACGATCACCTCGCAGGGCGGCACGGTCGGGGCAGGAGCGGCGCCCAAGGTCGCTCTGGAGAGTGACGCGGAAGGGAAGATCGTCGCGTGCCCGGAGGGCCTTTGGAAGCACCTGGACGACTGAGCGTGGCTCCTGCTCGACTGGCTCTTGTCTCCGGTTCTGCGAGGGTGCCTGGGTTGGCGCAGAGAGGACTCCTCACGCACCCACAGCTTGATGTTTTGCAGCATCGCTCCCGAAGGCCCTATCCTGACGTGCAAGTCCGGATTTGTTTTTCAGCCTTCTACGCTTTGCCCTTGGGGTTCACAGTGGGCCCCCACTCAAGCCTTCAGAAGATCTTCGGACGTCAGGATGGTGGCCACTGGTCTCAACTCCCTCCCTGACTGCTGATGCGCGTGCCTCGGGTGCACTGCTTGCTCCTCGTCCGCCGCCCGCACCAGTGCAGCCAACGAATCCTGATGAAGAGGATTTTTGTAACTTGAAGCTGCAGCCCCCTCCGTTGCCTGCTTCTCTCCCCTCGCCCCCTCCTTTCGCTGCGGCGGCGCTACCTGCTCTCTCCTTTTTCTGGCCTCGTGTGGTCGTGTGTGTGTGTGGCCTGGTGGTGTGCTGTCGTGTTCCTTCTCGCCAGCCGTTCCCCCTCTTCGTTCCCTTGCCGTGTTGCCGCTGGGCTGCAGCTGAGGATTGGAGTGGGGTGGACTGCCCGAGGTCTCTTCCGTGGCGCACCTGCCGCCGGGAGGATGGTGCCCATGGAGGCCGTCACGGGTGCCTTCCCCTCAAACGGTCTTGCTTTGGGCCGGTGCCCCTCTCGGGCGAGGTCGCATATTTGTGGGCATCGCCCCCGATGTTGGTGGCGAAGTTTTTTTTTCCATGTTTGCACGTCTTCAAGCGGCAGCATATCCGCCAGTCAGGATCGCAATCGTCTCGCTTCGTTCGTTCCTTACCACCCCCCATCTCCATTTCCCCCTCCCCCCCCTCCACCTCCCCGCTCCTCTTCGTCCTGCTCCTCCTGCTCCTCCTGCTCCTCCTGCTCCTCCTGCTCCTCCTGCTCCTCCTGCTCCTCCTCCTCCTCCTCCTCCTCCTCCTCCTCCTCTCCTCTCCCTGTTCCCCCTCCTCCCTCCTTCTTCTCCCTGCTCTGCTCTTCGAGCCCCTTGGCCTCCTCCTCCCCTTCTCGTCCTCCTCCTCCTCCTCCTCCTCCTACTCCTCCTCCCCCTCCTCCTCCTCCTCCTCCTCCTCCTCCTCCTCCTCCTCCTCCTCCTCTTGCTGCTCGCCCTTCCCTCGTGCTCCACCTCCAGGCGCCTTCCTGGCTCGGGCCTGCGCGGGGGCGTGCGTGGGGGGGCATCCCTTCGGCCCCGGCCCGCGGCCCGGCAGACGGGCGCGGGCGATCGCGACGGCGCCGAGGCAGCCAGGGCTCATTTCGACTCCGATTCGGTTCGATTCGACTTCGGTCAGTATTGTTCTTACGATCCCCATCCCCATCCCCATTGGGGATACACCCCTCGAAACCCGAAGGGAACGACCTATATCCCCATCTTGGGGTAAATCGGCCACAGGGGTCCAGGCCACGCCGCTGGGGATGGGGATCGGTTAAACGATACTCATTCCGATTCGATTCGACTTCGGATTCCGATTTGGATCCTGATTTCTCGACGGAGGCCAACTGGCCTGCCGACTTCCGCCGATCCGGCTTTCCCCGACTCGGCTGCCGATTTCCGCCGATCCGGTTCATTTCGATCGCTGGTCCGATTGGTCGAGTCGATTCTGGGCTCGCCCGGGCAGCCCTCGCCGTCTGCTGCCTGGCATCGGCGACTGCGGCGCTGCCGTGCCCTTGAGAGGGAGCCCCTGCGTAAGGCAGCTGCCAGGCACCTCCTGCAGGCTCATCACGGCGACCATCCGGCAGGACAAGCAGGCGAGGCGATGCCGGCAGAGGGTGACGAGGTTTGGGCGTACGTGGCTTCCACACAACGAGCTACCCGTCCAGCGCTACGTGTTGGGCCTGGGGATGCGACGAAGATGGAAAGCTGTCGTCGGCACCTTCACCGCCTTCAAAGAGGGCATCAAGTCGTCGACCGTCCCGCTTCAAGCAGTGGTTTTGGTCAGATCCTGGTGGCAATCATCCTCTTCCTCAGGTGATCGTTCTCTTATTCATTGTTTTGCCGATCGGCGCGGGCCCTCGCCCCCCCTCCCCCCCCCAATGGAGTAGGTCTTGGCTGTTTTTGGCGCCTGTTTCAAGCAGGTGGAGTCTCCCCCATAGGACGCACTGCTGCAAACAGTCGCATTAAGCAGAGATCCGGAGCAAGACCTCCCCTCCCCCCCCTTCCCGCCAATGTCGAAACGCCGGAAATGAACGCTCACCGGCACGATGGAAGGACTTGCGCCAAGGTCTCGGACGTGACAAAATTCAAGAGGTCGTGTCATACCCTGCGTCGGATATACGGCGACTGGCACGACCTGGTCATCCCAGCCAGAGCAGAGTATGAGAGGGCAAAGTCCGCAATCCGTGCCAGGATGGGCGCGTCAGACCTTTTCAGAAGTGCTAGAGATAGGTCGGCATCCAAAGGTTCCGAGCAATCCGAGAAGGTCAGCAACGTGGAGCAGTTCGAGTCGGACCTGAAAACAGCACGGAAACACTTTCAAGAGCTGGACAACGAGGCGGCCACTCTACATGCCGAGGTTGCTCAGGCCAAACCAGCGGTGGCAGTTGCACCCGCCCAGCAGCGCGGCAGTACCAACATGGCACATGTACCAGGGGCAATCCAACAACTCCAAGCGGCACTTCAACAGGCGAGGGCAGGTACCACCAGCTTGGACAGTGGGCGGTTTCTTGCCGCAGTCGAACAGCAGGCCCCGAAGATCGGCATCATCGCATCCCCGGCGGCCTCTTTTCGGCTGCGTCCTCCACCCCAGCGGATTTGCAGAGAGCGCCCTTCGTCTCTCAGGTGCCGCACGCCCCCATGGGGGCGGCCAGACAAGCAGCCGGACCCAGGCCGCAGCGCCTGGGAGAACGTTGGCGGCGATCAGGCGACGGCGAGCGGACAGAGGATCGAAGCGGCGAGATGTGGGAGTGTTTTTGTACAACGCATCGCATTGGGAATCATGCAGGTTGTTTTTGAATTCAGGGTCTACGGGACATGGTTGAAAGGCCTTCATATCGCCATGCCGACGCCGACATACGGGGTTGTCCATTGCAGGCGTTGGTATTTTCGTGCTCTCCCACATCCTCGCGACGTTGCTCAGAGGACCCCGCGGTGAAGAAGCGCATGCAGTTGTTCTGTCGTGGTCTACCATCATGCACATTGATGTTGGATTGCCGTGCGGGCTGTTGATTGGAGCACTTCAGATTGGTCTACGGTCTACGGGCAGTGGATCATATGTGTTCGCCAACTCTGACAGGTACTTCTGGCTCTCGGAATATCTGAGGAACAGGCCCTTCCCCGAACGTGTGCATGCTGGCTTCGGTGAGTTGCTGCCTGGTGCTCTACGCTACACGCAGGAGGGCACCTGCAGGTCGGCCAAGGGCGCCTTCGCGACCGTAGACTACTGGCGCACCTCGTACGACGTGGGAGAGGCTCGCATTACTCCGATTGCACTATCCATATGGCTAGCCAGGCCACGTCGTCCTGTCAAGTGCAAATTGAAGGCGCGCTCCAAACGGTTGAAGGTTCTCACCGCTGCAGCGATCCGCAGCTTTCCGAACGGATTTCAATATGCTATCGGTTGTCATCGGCGTCGATGTCCGCGTCTTCTTCCTTCGCGGCTACCGCCGCCAGGAGGGGGGCGAGATGGGCCTATCTCGCCGGGCTCTTGCGGCCTAGACGCAGGCAGGATCTTCGCACTGATCGTGGCATGCTCTGGATCAAAGGCGCGTGGCGCGTGATCGCGCGCGTCGATCCTGGGGCGCATGCGCAGGCCAGAGATGGTAAAGACATTGCGTCGCACCCTAAGGCCACGCAGCCAGATGGACAGTTGGACTGACATATTGGAGGCGCGCCAGTGGAGGTTTCTGATGAGCACTGCTTGAATTCGCCTCTAGGTGTTGGAGCTCTCCCTGGTATTTTGCGAGATCTGTCTAACGCGCCTCCGCGGTCGCTGCCCGCGCCAACGACCGCGCGAGTCAGCGGGGCGGCGACTGTGTTTAAATGGCGGACGGGGCTAGGCGCGGAGTGGGTCCCACCTAGAGCCATCTCGCTCGCGTCTGATTCGGCGTTGGCCATGATTGTCTAGTTAATTTAATCGCTTCGCTCATTCCGCCGGCCCTGGAGCGCTATTTGGGGCCTCTTGGGGCCGTCTTGGGGGCTTCTTGGAGGCTTCTTGGGGGCGTCTTGGGGCTCCTTGGCGGCGTATTGGGCTCCCCTCTTGGGGGGCTCTTGGGGGCTCCTTGGGGCGGTGGGGGGGGTGGTCGATTGCAGCCTCCCCCATCGGAGGCCGCGATCCCCGTGAGGGGTGGTGAAAAATAGCCTCCCCCCTGGGGATCGTCCGGGGATCAGCCGGGGATCGGCCGGGGTACTTTTCGTCCGGTGCCCCCCAGGGGCCGCCCCGCGCGCGCGAACTAGAAATATTGTTAAGTAGTTACCGGGGATCTTAGCACGCCTCTGGCCCGTTGGGCCGGCGAATTTGGGCGGCGGCGTCTCGGGCGAGGTGGCCTACTGCTGTGGCGCCGGCGTGCGGCGTGCTCTGAGCCATGCCGTAGGTGGGTTCCAGACCCGTTGCTGGTGCCGTCCACTACCTTGCCCACGCTTAGTTTCGCATCAGACAGGTCAGAGATCGGATGCGGGCGAACGCGAGGCCATGCGATGCACTGGGAGCGAACAAATGCACGCTGGGCACGGGGGCGCGCGCCATGAGATATTCGAAAGTTCTTTTAATGGCGCCTCTGCGGCCATCGCGGCGGCCGGCTGGCATCGGCGCGTGCCTCGATCGCGTCAGTTTGACTAATGTCTTGCGTGCAGCAGCGCGCTGCGTTTGTCCAGCGCAGATGTGGGCAATTGCGCTAGCTATCTACTACGCACCGCGTCGCATCAAGTGGGCCCATCGCTACTCCTACATGTGTCGCGGCGCGGCGATGGGTTCTGTCTGGTTGCGCGCTGACTATGTTCTTCTTTCAGCCAGTGGCCATGCTCCCGTTTGACTTCTTTGGAATCGTTCCTTGGCAGGGGGGCTTTCACCGCGCCTTTGACATCTGCGCCGGCAGCGTCGCGTTCCAGGTTATGGTCGCAGTGCAGGGCGTCGTGTGCCGAGCGGCTCGAGCACAGCAACGCCTGGCCGCGGTCCTCGCGGCCATCGAGTTGCCCGTCGCCCAGGACATTGGCCAGTGTATTGGCGTATGATTTCGTCATTTCTCAGGCGGTGTCGGCGCTCGACCGTGAGCGCGGGCTCGGGGCGCGCGGCGTTATTGATGTTCTAGGTCTGGGTGGGCGGGGGTGGGTGGGCAAGTAGTTGTCATTGACTTCGATTCGAAAGAGGGCCGGACAGATGGGGCCCTGGCTGCTTCGTTTGACGAGATTTTTGTAGTGGCAGGTATCGGCGCACTGCGTCGCAATCGTAAATGCATGGAGTGGCGCAGATCGCGGGGGCGACGGCGGCGCCGGCAGAGTCGGGCGTTCGCGACCATCGCGGGCCTCCGCGCGCTCTGACGTGGACTGCGTCGCAGCTGGAGCTGGGGGCCAACGAGTTCCCAGAGCTGATGGCATTTCTGGGGCCACTCCGCGCATGGGCGGGGTTTGTGCAACATTCCACAGTGCAGGGCCGCATTCTGTAGCGGGCTTAAGCCAAGCAGCGTGATCAGCTCTGGTCGTGCCCCGAGCGTCACCGCGTGGCTGGACATGCTGGGGCGGTGCTGATTGCACTCCGTGCTCTCGACTGGAGGGCGCACTCGGCTGCGCCGTGGACTGCAGGGCCTGGCGCGCGGCTGGGCCTTGCCGGTGTGGGCCTTGCGGTGGGCGTGGATTCAAAGGTACCGAATTGGAGGAATAGTCGATCTCGGGATCGCGCGCCAGATGGCAATCCAGCTATGCGACAGGCATTCGGGCATTGGTTCGCGCTGCTGCAACAGTCGCTGGCGCCGAGGGAGCTCGCCAAGACGGGGGGCCTTTCGGCTAAGGGCGAGGGCGCGCTGCGGTCCGCGATCAGTGGGGGCCGGCGGTCTCCGCCGCGACTACGCGAATACGGATATGCACATTATGACCTATGCCAGTGCTGCCATGACTGCCCTGGCGCGATGCGTCGCAGACTTTGGCGCTGCCCCAACCCATGACATGAGATAGCGGGGGCGGCGCGTGCGCGCGTGAAGCAAGAAAGGCGCTCAACAACGGCGCGTTCTACGCGCGAGGCCCCCTGCCGCGAAGTGGGTTGCCACGGGTGCCGCCATTCTGCCAGAGCGAGAGTTGGTCGCGCGCGCGTGGAGGTGTCGCAGCAATCCTGACAGAAGATGTCTACGCGGACGGGCCTGGGATCTCACGAGTGGCTTGGCCAGGGGCAGCGTGTCTTTTTTTTCCCTTGGTGAAGGGGCAGATTCTGCGTGGCAATGCATTCGGTCGTCTACCTGGGCGCCGGCAACTTGCGTCGCGGGTGGAACTCTTTGCGGTGGCCCGTTGCGCTCCGCAACGGGCAGCTACCAATGCGCATCCGACGTCGTTGCGTGGGCATGCCCCATGGTCTTCGGCGCGGCGCGGCGCCGCGCGACTCATGGAAGACCCCTTCGCGGGCGCGAGCTGTGCTTGAACGCCGGCGCGAGGACGTTTGCGCCGTTCGTCGAACCTTGGCCCCTGGGCCCCAGGCCCCCACTGAAGCCGCCCCTGGGAGGGCTCGACGGTGAGCTTGGCCCGCGCGCAGGGCCTTTTTCCGAGCCACGAAAGATGCTTTTGGGGCGTGTTTTTTTTGGGGGGGGGGGCCGTCTTCGGCCTCCTCGAATGGGCCCAGCCCCCTTCTCCCAGCTCTTCCGCTTCTGGGGATGGGGGGGCTGCTCAGGAATTGGGGGCCCGAGGGCGAGGCGGCGGCGCCTGTCATTCGCGCAGAACGCAGAGTCACGCCTAGGATCACCTTCGGGCCCGAGTGCGCGAAGTGACCGAGGCTCTGGCGCCGTCGGCGGGGTCGGGAAGCGCCTCGGACTTGCCGCGGCCACCCCGAGGGTCAACGGGCCCCGCCCAGCGCGGTGCCCCCCCCCCACCCGCGGGGCTCGCCCCCCCGGTGCCTTCCATCCTGTGCCGCGCTGGCGAGACCATCGGGCTTGCGAGGTGCGGCTGTTGCTCGGAGAGAGCGCGTCGGTCTCTATGGTTCACTTCATGCGACGGCCCGCAGTCCTTGGAAGGTGCCCCTCAGAGGGCGTGGCGCAGAGATAATTTCGCTTCGGGCCGTCACCCCAAGAACGGCAGGAGGCGTCCCATCCCAGCCCCAAAACGCTTGTTGGTCGCGGGGCCTGCCGTTCAATTGTGTGGGCTCCTCGCGTCAAGTTTGCATTCTTCAAATTAAGTTGTTTGTCTTCTTGTGCGCGTTGCCGCCGAGTCGGCCCCGGCGAGCCTCCATCTCGGGGTGGGTCGTCGCGCGCGTCGTGATGGTTGTCCCTGTGGACTTTGTGCTCCGGGCAGCCCCTCACTTTTGCCCGCGGGCGGTTGTGCCGCTTCTGCTTGCCCAGCTTCTCTTCCATCGCTGCTGTCCTGACCTCGGCGCGACTCCCCATGCGCTCGCTGCTCGTACTCCACCTTCCCAGCAGGTCCTTGAATGCGCTTTGTCGTTGGGTCTTCCAGCGCGGTCGCAACGCCTCGCTAGAACGAGATAACCTTCGAAGTGTGCTATTGCGTTCTTGCCTTTCGGCCCTGACGCATGGGCCGTAGGGTTTCAACTTCGGCTTTCGCTTGACTGACCAAGAGCCGCGCGTCCATGCCGCGGTCCTTATGATCCAGTCACACCGTGCGCGCCGCGCTGTTCGGTGCGTGTAGAACGTCCCCGTCAAGGGCAAAGTTCGAACGCCTTTCCCAGGCTTGCCGAATCGAATCGTTTCGTCCCGGTCGTCGCTGTTGTCGAGAGATTTGAACTCCGCTCCATATATACGCGTAGTACGGGTAACATTGGAACGCCGCTCCCAGAATCGTTGGATCGAGTTGGGTCGCCGCGGCCATCACCATTGTCGTCGCGTTCGAGCGCCTCTGCTGGAGTTGTCGAGCTGTTTGCTGAGTCGTCGCCGCCGCTGTGCTCCTCGCCCCGCAGAAAACGAGGCGCGCGACATTCGGGGCGGGCAAGTGCTGGCGGGGGCCAGCTGGAACTATTGCGCGCAGCGCGGTGCGGCACCCGCCGCGCGGAACGTGCGGAGGGTGGAGGCGCTGGGCTGCCCGTGCCCTTTCTTTTGTGGATTGTTCGGTGTCGGAGGGGTTTGGTGTGTTTGTGTGTGTGTGTGTGTGTGTGTGTGTGTTTGCACCACGTGTGTTGGGACCCCGTTGCTTACGCGAAGGACATCGGTGTATAGACGCTCCAGCATCCCAGGGCCTGGGATCTTTGGGGTGCGTCTGCGCCGAGTTTTTTTTTTTTTGTTTTTTTTTTTTTTTTTTTTTGCCGACCACTATACTTCGAACCCCTCGTAGGGCGTCTGGGAGCTCCTGGAGGCCTCTAGAGGCTTGTGGTGACCTCCGGGGGCCCCAAGGTCCTCGGCAGCGCTTGCGGGTCCCTCGCAGTCTTACTTTGCGCGCTCCTCTCCCTCCCTCTGCCTGGCCCTCCCTCCTCATCCTTCTCCCCTCCCCGCCCTCTCGTCCTCCGCCTGGTGGTGCTGCCTCTGGGCGTGCTCCTCCTTTTCCTCCTTTTCCTCCTCCTCCTCCTCCTCCTCCTCGTCCTCGTCCTCGTCCTCGTCTTCTTCCTCCTCCTCCTCCCCCTCCTCCCCCTCTTCCTCCTCCTCCTCCTCCTCCTCCTCCTCCTCCTCCTCCTCCTCCTCTTCCTCCTCCCCCTCCTGTATCCTACTTCGTTGGGGATTGCCGATTGCCGAGAGTTGAAGAGGCCGCATTCCGCTGCCATTTAGGCCCTTTCAGTTTCGCGCTGAACAGGGGGCCTCCGCTGGTGCATGCCGTGGGGGCTGGACGCCTTGGCGCGCGACCTGACGCAGGCCGCCACCGCAGCGCTGGTGGTGCGGTCGGGCGTCCCGTCGTGCCCCGACTGTGTCTGTTCGCCCACGCTGACGTGCCCGCCGCTGACCTGCTCGTGCCCTGGCGGCGAGGGGCTTCTCAACCCCACTGCCGCGGAGGGGTACCCGGGAGCAGTGCTGGCGGTGGTCGCCGGCACCTGCCTCCTCCTGGGGGCGGCCGCAGGCGCCGCGGGCGTCCTCTGGGCGGTGCGCCCCCGGGCGGCCCCGTGTGCCAGCGCGCCGGGCCCAGTGGCGGCGCCTGGGACGCCCACCTCAGCGCTGGCTGCACCAGCTGAGGCAGAGGCGCTCGAGGACGTGCAGACGGTGGCCGCGGCGCAGGCGAGAGCCTTCCGGCGGCTGCGGGCGGCTGCGCGGTGATGGCGGCGGCATTCGCTGCAGGGGGCTTCTGCCTCACGAGGTACAACGTCGGCGGGGTCGAGGGCTATCATGAGCGGGTGATCCTCTACGGGGCGGGCTACGTGCTGACGCCAGACATGGACGACTACGGAGAGGGCCTGACGCCGGACGCGGACATCCACAGCGTGCGGCCGATTGCCGGACAGGGAGGCCGCGCCGGGGGGATCGCGGAGGCTCGGACGTACCGCTTCCGCCGCCTGCCGACGCCGGCGGAGCTGTGGGCCGCGCTGCGCAGGGGAGCAGCCGAGGGGTTCGGCGTGCTCCCGGCCTCGCCCTTCAAGCTCGACCTCTCGGCCGCGAAGTGTGAGGGGCGCCCCGCCGGGCCGCTGGAGGTCGCGGACCCAGTCGCGGCCCTGGCCCCTGCGGCGGCCTTCGCGGGCGCAGCGGCGGCGCCAGCTATGGCGGAGCCTGCCGAGGCGGGCGGACCGCCAGTGGCCGCCGCGGCCGTCGTCCCGGCCGCGCCGGAGGGGGCGGTGGCGGCCGCCCCTGGGCGTGCGCCCGCGGTTCCCGACGGCGCCCCCGTCCCGCCGCTGCCCTCTGGGGCTGCGCCGCCAGGCTGGTTGTGGGTCGCCGCCGAGGACGTCGACGGGCTCGTGGCGTACGGGGAGGAGCTCCAGGTGGGTATCGCCGGCGGGGTGCAGCTGGCCTGGCGTTCAGGACGGCGAGGCGGCTTCTTGCTCCCCGCTGGTGGCGCTGCCTTCGGGGTGCTGCTGCAGCATAGCGAGGTGGCGTACTTCAGGCAGGAGTTCCGGGGTAACGACGCACGGACGCTGGAGGTGCCCGCCTCGGCTGCGGCTTCAAGCGGGCCTGCGCGTGACTGGCGCGAGGTGGTCCAGCTGTGCCACCAGGAGCAGATGGCCGACTTCGCGGTGCCCGGGCCACCGACTGCCGCTTGGTGTGCGAAGTACCAGGTGAAGGAGGGTGGCCCATCCCTCCATCATGATATGTGGAAGAGCCGCAGGAAGCTCGCCTCAATGGACTTCGGGGTCGACATGCACGATGCCCTCTCGCGCATGATTGAAGCCATGGGAGTGTCGGACCACCTTGACGTCTTCAACTTGGCGAGCGCGGAGATTGGATATCGCAAGCTCCAGTTGATCGAGCACTACTGGGACGACCGCAGTGCAGAGCAGCAGCAGAACAACAGCAATACCCCCTTGGAGGAGAGCCAGGCCTTCATGGGCGGGGCTCGCGCGCCTTCGATGGTGCGCCCAGAGCTGCTCGACGCTGCGTCGAAGGATTTGGAGCGCATCTCAAGCATCAAGAAGAACGCCAGGAAGCTGAGGGAGGAGCAGGCCGCCGCCGCGAAGGCCAAGGGCGCTCCTCCCAAGACGGGATGATGCTGGGACCGCCGCCGGGGTTGCCTCGACCCGGTGGCGAACCTTTGGAGAGGCTGGTGGACAGCGACGGACACGTGCAGCGGTCGCTTCTGCCCTTGCCAGTCCCTGACTGGTGCAGTGCCCCCGGCGGCGCCCTGCGGGCGCGGTCTGCTCGCCGTCGTCGAGGGCGTCGGGCGCATCAGGGCGAGCTTCTCACCGAGCTCGTCGTCGCGCTCAATCAGCTGGATGCCGGCTCGGACCTCGTTCGCAGGCAGTGCGAGGGCGAGCCCAGCAGGATGCAGCAGCTATGCCTGGAGCGCCTCGCCGAAAGCTGCGCGGCGATGGGCGCTCCGCCTTCTGATTTGTCGTCCGAGGTGGCCCTCCGGGAGCTCCGGGTCGGCGCCGCCTGCGGGGACTGCGACCCCATCTCGGCGGCCCCCTTCGCGCGCGACCTCGTCTCCTTGCCGGCTGTCGGTGGCGCCCGGGTGCCGCTGGACCAGCTGCTCGGGAAGGGCGGTCCAGATATCGTGCGGAGGTTCATTTCTTCCAAGGTTTTGTCAAATCATGATGCCGCTGAGGCGAAGAAGGACTCGGGTTTTGCGCGGCCGTACCTGGATCCAGTTCTCCGTCGGCGTGAAGACTACCTCGCCTTCATCCGCCGACTGGGCAAAGCTAACATGCTGGATTTCAGGCTCGACGGCGACGACTTCGAAGAGGTCGGGCTTTTCGCAGTTTGGAAGAAGGGCGGTCGCCAACGTCTGGTGATCGATTGCAGGGGATCCAATTTACATTTTGCAGAACCTAACAAGACCAGCCTCGCTAGCGGGGCCAGCTTCAGTCGCATGGAGCTTCAAGAGGGTGAGCAGTTGTGGGCGGGGGGCGTGGATATAGCCGACGCGTTGTACAATATGGGTTTGCCTGGTGAACTTCGACGCTACTTTGCTCTTCCTCGATTGCGTGCCGCTGACCTTGGCCTCAAGGTCGTCGAGGGCCAGTCCGTGTCGAGCCGAGCCTGGGTCCGCCCGTGCTTGGCGGTCTTGCCAATGGGCTGGTCGCACGCTCTCGATTTCTGTCAGCGGGTACACCGCTCGATCGTGCTGGAAAAAGGGGACTCCCTGGGGCAGCTGAGATCATTGACGGACGTCCGCCTGCGGATGTGAGGGAGGGAGCTTTCACGGCCTACGTCGACAACTTCGTCGCCTTCGGCACTGGGCCCGAGAGGCCTGGTGAGATGTTGGACGCAGCTCGAAAAGCCCTGGAGGGTGTGGGCCTGCCGGTGCACCCGGCCGAGACGCCTGTCACCGTTTCGGAGCAGCTGGGCTGGGTCTTCGACGGCGAGCGAGGGGCCTTGCGCCCCAAGAGTCGGCGTGCTTGGAGATTGAGGCAGGGGATCCTGGAACTCTTGAAGAAGGGGTACGCCACGGGTCGCCAGATCGGAAAGGTTGCTGGACATTATGCCTTCATCGCTCTCGCTCAGAGGCCTATGCTCTCCGTCTTCAGCGCCGTATACAGTTTCTCCCGGAAGTACTTCTCCCGAGTCATGAAAATCCCGCCCTCGGTTCGACGTGAACTTCAGTGGGCTGCCGCACTCCTCCATCTGGCTTGGGCTGACCTTCGTGCGCCCTGGGGCTCCATGGTGTATGCGAGCGACGCGAGCGAGGAGGGGGGGGGGTCTGCCAGAAGGAGGCCGACGTCGAGCTCGTCAGGGCTGCGGGTCGTGAGGAGGAGAGGTGGAGGTTTCGTCATCCTGGAGTTTCTCGACCTCGCGATTGTCTCGGTGGTCCCAGGGGTCCCGCGGAGGAGCCGGAGATCGTCGACGACTTCGAGGGGGAGAGCGCGGAGGGCGAGAGGTGGAAGGTGCAGGAGGTTTCGGGCGAGCTGTACGGGGGCAGGTGGCAGGTGGTGTCTAGTGGAGGATGGGCCCGGGCCGAGAACATCATCGTCCTGGAGGGTCGGGCCATCGTTCACTCGCTCCGACACGCCCTTCGTGATTCGAGATCTTTTGGTCGTCGTCTACTTTTCCTGTCCGACAACATGGGGCTCGTGTGTGCGTTGCAGAAGGGGCGTTCATCGGCTGGGGGGGTCCTCCGCATCACCCGGCAATGGGCTGCCTGGTGCCTGGCGGGAGGCGTGCAGGCCTCTGTCCGCTGGATCCCGTCGGGGCGCAACGTTGCGGATGCTCCGTCGCGTCGCCGCATCCCCCTCGGCGTGTGGCTGGACGGGGGCGCGGGCGGTGCTGAGCCGGACCTCGACCGCTTGGGCGTGCGGGGCGGGGGCCTCCGTAGCCAGCGCGCCGATGTCGCGGCAGCGGGGGCGGAGCTCGACGAGCTGGCCGTCCGTGGGCCCGCCAGCGGCCCCCTCCGGGGCGCCCGGCGCCCCCCGGCGGCTGCGGGGCAAGCGGGCGGCCGACGGGGGCGATCCTGTTCTGTCGGCGGTGCGCCGGCCTCGCCACGTCGGGGCGGCTGCTGCCGCCGCGCGGCGGCAGGGGCGCCCGGCGCCGGCGCGGAGAGCTGCTCGCGCGGCTCGCCAGCGGGCGCGGGCTGCGCCCCTGGTCACAGGGGGGGCCATTCTGCAGGGCGCCTCGGTGGCGCCGAAGACGGTCGCGCAGTGCGACGCGCTGTGGCAGGACATCTTTCGGGCGTGGGCAGCAACTGCTTGCAAGACGGGCGCCGCCCGAGTGCCCAGCGACGACGACATGGGCGGCCTGCTTGCCAGCTGGATGGGCCGCGAGTACTTGGCCGGCGAGCTGTCGCAGCGCGGGGCCAAGGCGATGGCGGCGGTGAAGTTCTTCCGGCCGCAGTTCAGCCGCGCGGGCGGCCTCTCGCTGCCGCGGGCGGCACAGGCCTTGAAGGGGTGGAAGCGCCTCGCCCCTGGGCGGGCGCGGCTCCCGCTCCCCTGGGAGGTGGTGTCGCTGATCGCGCTCGAGCTGGTCGCCGCGGGCTTCTGGGCGATGGCTGCGTGGGTCGTGATCACTTTCCACTGCTACCTGCGACCCGGCGAGCTGGGGCGGGTCACGCCAGAGATGATCATCGCGCCCACCCCGGGCACGCACATCTCGGGCTGGGCCATCGTGCTGCGCCCGTCCGAGGACCCAGAGGTCGCAGACTTGCTAACAGAGTCCTCCGGCCTATCGATGATGTTTGAACGTCTTCCGGACTAATGATGATGGTGCTACACATGATACATGATGAAATGTGTGAACGCTATTATTATATATGATATGTGTGTGCTTATGCTAAAATATATAATTCAATACATACAACTACCAATACATATTGTATGATTTTTTTCTTTCTGCTGGGTTCGTTGGTTGGTTGATTGGTTTTGGTTGTTGTTGGTCGGTTTGTTTGGCTGTTGGGTGTTTGGTTGTTGGCGGTCGTTGGTTGGTTGTCGCTTGGTTGTTGGTGTTGGTTGGTTGTTGGTGGTCGTTGGCTGGTTGCTGGTCGGTTTGGGTGGGTTGTTGGTTGGTTGGTTGTTGGTGGTCGTTGGTTGGTTGTTGGTTGGTTGTTGGGTTGGTTGGTTGTTGGTGCGAGGTTGTTGGACGTTGCGCGTGTCGCGGGCGGTTGCTGTCAGCCCGCTGCTGCTGGTCGCCCGTCGGCGTCGCCGTCGTCGTCGTCGCCCCGCCGTCATCCGCCGTCGCGCCGCCGCCGCGGGTCGCGGGCGGTTGCTGTCAGCCCGCTGCTGGTCGCCCGTCGGCGTCGCCGTCGTCGCCTCGCCGTCGCCCGCCGTCGTGCCGCCGCCGTCGGCCGCCGCCTTCGCCGCGCGCCCCGTCTCCGCTCGCCGTCGCCGCTCGCCGTCGCCGCGCCGCCCCTCCGTCGCCGCTGGGCGCTGCGGTCGCCGCTTCGCCACCGAGGAGGAAGAGGAGGAGGAGGAGGAGGAAGAGGAGGAGGAGGAGGAGGAGGAGGAGGAGGAGGAGGGGGAGGAGGAGGGGGGGGAGGGGGAGGAGGAGGAGGAGGAGGAGGAGGAGGGGGGGAAGGAGGAGGAGGAGGCGGAGGAGGAGGAAGAGCAGGAGGAGGAGGCCCCCCCGTCGCCGCGTCGCCCCCCCGTCGGCGACGCCAGGGGCGCCCCGCGCCCAGGCGCGCGCCACGTCGTCATGGACGGCGTCAGCTTGCCAAAGGCAGGGGCGGGGGGGGGCAGGGGGGCGCGATTGCACGACCAGCAGGGGCGTCTGAGGGGGCAAACCAACAGGGGGGAACAACCCAACGACGAGCCAAAATTGCTTGAGCCAAAATAGCTACGGCGGAGAAGGCGGCTAGGAGAAGTAGCGGGAGGAGGATGCGAAGGAGGGCGGGCGAGAGTCCAGCGTGGAGGACAGGAGGGAAGAGGCACTTGAGCAATGGCTGAGCCTCAGGCGCGCGGGCCTCGGCCCGAGTGCACCTGGGCTTGAGGGAGACTCAGCGCCACGGCTGCGGTGCGGCCGAGATCGTAAGCCTGGGCTTAGGCCCAGGCTTACGAGCTCGACAATGGCCACGGACGAGGATGGTAAGAGAGGGTGGAGAGACCGATCAGCGGTGGCAGCACGCACGCGATCAGGATGAGAAGAAGAAGTATGAGGATGATGACGACGAGGAGGAGGGAGAGGAGGAGGAGGAGGAGGAAGGAGGAAGGAGGAAGAGGACGGAGATAATGAGGAAGGAGGGAGGGAGGGAGGGAGGAAAGGAAGAGAAGTTCAGGGCACTCTCCTGCTGTCCTTTCCTGCTGGAGCTCAGGGTCGCGTCCTGGGGTCCTTTCCTGCTGGGGCCGTTCCTCCCTCCTCCTCCTCCTCCTCCTCCTCCTCCTCCTCCTCCTCACTCCGCCTCCTCATCCCTCCTCCTCCCCCTCCTCCTCTTCCTCCTCCTCCTCCTCCCCCTCCGTCTCCCTCCTCCGCCTCTCTCGGGACATCAGGAGAGGGCTCTGAGCCCCAGCGTCGATCCGTAGCCATCGATCTTGCCGAGCTTTCGAATTTCGACGCCCCGACGCGCCCAGCCCGACGCAAAGCCCGAGCCTTCAGATGTACGCCGACGCCCAGCCCGCGCCCAGCCCTACGCAGCCCGGCGCGCCCAGCCTGACGCGCCTAGCCCGACGGGGCCCGACGCCCAATCCAACGCGCCCAGCCCGACGGAGCCCGACGCCGAGCCCGACGCGCCCAACCCCTCGGAGTCCGACGTCCAGCCCGATTTCCTTTCCGACGGCGATCGCACTCCCGTCGTTGACTCCCCAGCGACGTCTCGGGCGCTGCTAATGGTGCCCCTGGCCCAAGGTTCCTTTAGCGTTTCGCCGCATGTTTTGGATGACGGGGGACCCCTGGGCCGCGCGAGGGTTACTCTGGACGTCCTGGGGGCCTTCCTGGAACTAACTCCTGGTGGCGTCTTGGGCCAGGGGCACCTTTAGCAACGCGCGAATGTCGCCATCGTACGAGCCGCCACGACCGCCCACCTGGTTGCATAACCTCCTCCATGGCAAGGGGAAGGGCAAGGGCAATGGCAAATGCAGGGGCAAGGGCAGCAAGGGCTCGGACAAGGGCAAGGGATGCAAGAGCAAGGGCAAGGACAGCGAGGGCTCGGACAAGGGCAAGAGCAAGGCCAAGACGAAGCCAGGCTCGGACCAGCGGGCCCCCGTCACTCCTCCTGGGGGGCCCTTGGCGGCGGTGGCGGCGAGGCGCGTTTTCAAGCGCCGCCGCCGCCTGGGCCTCCCAGAGGAGGCCACGTTCGACCCTCGTAATTATAAGTCTCCTCTCAGAGGAATGTCACGCACGACCACCCTTATCATTACCCTTATCATTATACAACCCTTATCATCCCAGAGGGATGTCACGCACGACCACCCTTATCATTATAAGTCTCCTCCCCCCTCCTCCTCCTCCTCCTCCTCCTCCTCCTCCTCCTCCTCCTCCTCATTTTTCCACTTCCTCATCCTTCTCCTCATCCGTCTCCCTCCATCCTCCCTCCCCCCTCACCGTTTACTTCCCGAACCTCTTCTTCCTCCTCTTCGTCCCCCTCCTGCTAAATTTCTGTTTGGGAGTAGCCACCCTCATCACCCTCTCACCCTCTCTGCGCCCTGTTGCGATTGCTGCTGCTGTGCATCCACCTCCTCCTCCTCCTCCTCCTCATCCTCCTCCTCCTCCTCCTCATCTTCCTCCTCCTCCTCCTCTTTCCCCCCCTCCTTCTCCTTCTCCTCCTTCGAAGGAGCAGCGGCCGCCGTCGCCGTCGATCCTGGGCGGCACCAGCCGCGCAACTGCGGGGGGGGAGGTGGAGGTGGGCGATATTTTTTCTCCATGGCCCCAGGGCAACCCTCGTCGCCTCGACTGGATTCGCCACAATCGAAATTCGCACCCGTTCGAAAGGAAAAAAAAAGAAAGGGAGGCGAGGCCCCGCCGCCGCGAGGCTCCCTGAGCGCAATGCCCTAAGACGGGGAGCCTCCCCCTGGGGCCCTTCCTTGCCCTCCAGTTGGAGCGCAAGGAGGGGCGCGCCCATCGATGCCCTCCAATCGGAGGGCAAGGAAGGGCCCCCCCTCTGCCCACCTTCCGACTGGAAGATGGGCGGAGGGACGGGGTGGGGCAGGGTCCTCTGGCTGCAGAGGCCCATTGCCGATCGGGCCGCGGGGTGGCGCACAGAGCGCGCCCAGGTAACAGCCCCTCCCATCCCTTGAGGGGGGAAGAAGGGCTGTTACCACGACCCCCGCGGCAGTCGGGCTTACAGGACTTACGTTGCCTTCACCTCCTACAGTGCCCGAGGAGGAGGAGGAGGATCCAAGACGGCCACCGAGACATTCTCCAAGACGGCCTCCGAGATGCCCTCCAAGGCTGCCACCGAGACGCCCTCCAAGACGGCCCCCAGAGGACAAGCCCGAATCCCGAAGCAGCCCAAACAAGCCCAACGCATGCCGAGCTTCCAGGAAACCCAATGTCCCGCAAGAATCCTCGAGGCCCGGTATGCAGCCCAAGACCCTTTAAGATCCCCAAGGCCGCAACGCCCCCGAGCCCTGGGCACGCAGCCGAGATGCCCTCAAAGAAGGAGCCTCCAAAGAAGCCTCTGAGAATACACCGTCCAAGAGAACCTCCAGAGTCCACGAGAAAACCAAAGGCACTAGAGAAAACCAGGGCTCCGAATCAAGACGCCCGAAGGTCAGCAGAAAGCACGCCACGACGCCCAAGACGATCATGGTCCCCAGGTCCCCCCCCAAGAAAGCACTCCTCCCCCCAAGCAGGCCCGCAGTCAGACTAGACGCCAGGAGTGGCGGCAGGCGGACAGCCGTTGACCATTGAGGGTGGTGACTTTCTCAACCGTGGCGCAGAAGTGCACGGTGCGCCGGGCAGCAGAGCAGACAACCGTCCTCTGTCATGTGATCCTCTTCTCCCTCATATTCCTCCTCCTCCTCCGCGAACCCCCTGCCTTCTTCCATTAGTGCCTCCTCACCCCCCCGTCGTTTCTCTTTTCAGCTCCCTTCTCCTCAACCTCGTCATCTTCATTCGTCCTCGCCCCTTCACACTTTGCTTATCCTCTTCCTCCTCCTCGCAATCCTCTTATCCTAAGCGTGAGTTGGTCGTGCTCCTTCCTCCTCCTGTCCCTCCTCCCCCTCCGTCTCCTTCCCTTCTCTCTCCTCCTCACCTCTTCCTTTTCATGGGCCCTTTCCCTGCTTTGATATTCATGCCTACCTTCCCCTTCCCACGGGCCATGGCGATCGCGTCTACCCAATCCAGCCCCACTCGATCTCTTCGTCGAGAATCTCTCGGGCTGGGTCCCCATTCTCTAGCGCGGGCCCTTCGAAACCAGCTAAGTACCACCAGTTGGCGTGGACACCAGCCTTTGCCAGTTCTTTCATCCACTCATGCGTCAAACTGCCCTGAGGGGCCCTAGCAGTACGGGTGGGCGCCCTCAGAAGTTCTTGCCAGCCCTGGGTGGGGGGGCAGGAGGGGGGCAGGAGGAGAGGGGGGGAGGGGCAGGGAAAGCAGGATAAGGGGGGGGTGGAGGAAGAGGATCGAGGAGGGGCAGGAGAAGGAGGAGGAGGAGGAGGGGGCAGAGGGGGGGACTGGCCTGACCCACGGAGTCTCGAATCAAGTTCGCCACCTTTGCTCCGCTCTTACTCGCGTTGGCCATCGTGCGGATCCCGCGCGCGATTTCCTGGTGGTCTGGAACCCCTCCCCCTT